ACTTCTATTGTACACCAAGTTCCCCAAAAGCTGCGCTCTTGAATAGTATGTGCACAAGTCTCGTTATCGCTACTCAGCGCGCACTCAGTACATAATGGAAAAACAAGTTTATTTCCTAGTTTAACGGGTAGAACTGGAAAAAACAATTCTTTCGGGGGCAAAACTTTGCATTTGATGATACCAAAATACTGACTGATATCACCAAAATCTTCGGTAACGATAACTGGATGACCAATCGGATAGGTTTTAGTTTTATTGACATACGGATAAAGACTAGTAAAATCAACGTACTTTATTTTTTCTCCTGGTTTACAAGAATGAAAGAGTTTCACGGGATACAACTTGCCTACTATTTCATGGTTTGAACTTAAATTTTTAAAGGCTGCAGTTTGAGAAAGGTTTTGGAATTCGCACTCCCAAATATACTTAACCTTATATCCGAGCTCACCAATCCGTGCGATTCTATCCATTGTATCTTGATAAATCTTACTATTCTTAGTGTCACGTCTGAGAGGATTTGTAGAATTTTGATCAAAGCACTTGTCGYGTGCATGAAACATACATCCAAAAAATTCAAAAACCTCGTTTGTTTCTTTGCAAAAACCATCAACATGATAGTTTTTTCCCAACTCCGGGTCAGAAATTACGTGTTCTCCGCAATTTTCAGCATGGATGATTTTTTTATTGCTAACAAAGCTGATGAAATCAAGCCATTGAATAGATTTTTCTGAATACATCTTTTGAATGCCTCTGTACAAATCCGAAGGAACAATTCCTATTGTATCAGACTGTAAAAAATTGCTTTTAAATACTGCCATGACTGTTGCTGCTATGGTAACGTATCGAAATGGGTCAACATTCATCTCTGACAAAAATATTTCTCGAAATCGAATRCAGCTTTCCCTTAAAATCTTAACATCTTGAATACAATATCGCTCGAGTTCTTGATCAAAATTGAAAACATACTTCTTTTCGCACATTGAAGCATGCCAATCAAACAGCTTTGAGCATGCTTCTTTCGAAAGGTTATCTGGTGAATAATAACTGATATCAGGCATCGGGCCCTCGTAACCGAAATTTTCTTTCTTGTTGAAAAGGTGAGGAAACGTGCCTTTGGACATTTGACTTTCATCCAATCCAAATGTTTTTGGTAGTTTGGAAAGGGGCATTTGAAACCAGTTCAATGAATCAATAACCCTGATGTCGTAGTCTTTGACTAAAAGTTGCATGATTTTTTGTCCCGTTCTAATKATTCGAACGTCAGCAGTGGGTCTATTTTCTAATAACCAGCGAAGTAAAAATAAGCTATCGAATCCTTTGGCATGGTGAGCAATTGCAGAATATCCCGAATGCTGATTATCAAAAAGAAACGAGCAGAAGTCATTTAACGCGTTATAACCTTTGAATATTGACGTCTTTCCCGAGAAATCTTGACACACTGCAAAATTAACCASGTGCTCACCGCTGGACTGATCTGTTTCGAAATCGAAAAAAATWAGATTTTCAGATGGCGGCTTAGGCGATTCGTTTTTCATGTAGCACAAATGCCCCGTCAATACATAATTTTTACAATTCCAGCACCTATATTCGTGACACACATGTACATTTTTGCGATCAGACTCGACGATTGAATTGCAGGTTGTACAACGAAAAGATT